CGGCCCCTCCACTCCACCCCTGAAACCCAAAAACCAGTTGACTCTCTTTTCAGTGCCATACTGCTGCCTAATTAACGAATTCCCTCCGCGCTTTTGCAGCTATGAAAATGAGATAATAATAATATTAAAAATGATCTCAATAAAGAAAAGGTAATTACCCGAGCATATCCACCGCCTTCCTTCTACAGCATGCAATCGCAGCGCTGCTCCATGTAGGTTCATGGGCTGCTCTGACAAGTTGACGGTAATCGGCCCCTCCACTGAAACCCTGAAACACAAAAACCAGTCGACTGTGTTTTCACTGCCATATTGGTGTCTCAATAATGAATTCCCTCAAACCTTTGACAGCTATGAAAGTGAGAAAACAATATTATTAAAACTGATCTCAAACAAAAAGGGAAATTACCTGGGAATATTCACTGTCTTTGTTCCTTCCAAAGAATGCAGTCACAACGCTCTTCCGACTTCGTCTGACAAGTTGTCCGTATACAGAAATTCACCCCTCCAATTCAACTGCCGACAAAAACTGCAACACAAAATGATAATGAGAATTAGACAATAATAATATTAAAAATGATCTCAAACAAATACAAAAGGAAATCACCTGAGAATATTCCCTGGTTTCCTTCCTTCTATTGGATGCGGTCACATGAATCTTCCGAGTTGCGTTGTGGGGGTGGTCTCACAAGTTGTCAGTAGACAGTAATTCGCTCCTCAATTTCGACGGCCGGCTTAAATTATAACACAGAGTACATGTAACATAAGAAACCCTCCCAACAAGTATGAATGATTTTCACCATTTCTTGTTGGAGCTGGTATTTCCAGGCAGTCTCAAATTAAGTTCAGAAGAATTCCTAACATCTTGTGAGTGTTTATATTCTCATAGAAAAACAAAATGTCTCCTCACTCATATACCTCAAGTTCCAATAGAACTGGACGATTTACATTCAGAGAGAAATAACACAATCACCTAGATCAATCTTTGAAAAACGAAACATACCTCATCCCTGATCCGTTGTCCACGGGCCTCCACCTCAGCTTCCGTAGGACCACAGACATCTTTCATCCAATGACACAAGGCTTCCCTCTTAGTGCTCAGACCTCCATTCGACCCTCTTCTTCAACACTTCTCATTCCAGTCTCAAGCTCCAGGGAGTAGAACGTTTTCTTCCTGTTTCATGTAACCAGAGAAAGCAAATTAACGAAATGTTAAAGTACTTCATAGTCTTCTTGAAAATATTATCCAACTCGGATTAGAAACTTTATTATTTATCAAGTTAATTAATTCAAATTTATAGGGCTCCAGTATATATAAAAGAGGATTCTTTGAAGAAAACAACATGAATTAACTCCCATGCCAAAAAGAGTTGAAAATGTGACA